TTCCTGGGCATGTTTTTAAAAAGATTCGATTCGAAATGGTGAGAAACGGACCTTTGCAGGGCATATTACACTGGGAAGCTGCAGTAGGTACTCCCAGGTTATTGGCCAAAGAATTACCGCACCAGCATTCATCGGCGTATTGGAGACCGGCATAAATATACCCTTTGCCTCATGGTAAAGAAATGAAAGAATGTTCAGGATAATACAGCGTACCTTTGGTGCTACAAGTAGAAATGCACGCCTCTTGGGTCAAAGTCGTCGACGTGTACGAGTAGGACAGCGCTCTAGCAGCCCCGTCGGTCACGCAACCAACGGATGACCATCCTGTAGGTATAGCACGGGCGTTCAGGTGCTGTAAGTTGATCCTCTCCTGGGACCTTTGTCTCAGAAGCGATCTAAGACTCAAGGATGACGACTCGAGGGCGAACGTGAGAGAAATGTAGAAAGAGACCGCCCAAAAAATCCGTGTCAGATGCATCGGAGCGATGCGGACGTAGGGAGTAGAGACCAAGGCCGGAGGAAATCACGACAGTGCGACTTCGCGCAGTCCAGAGTTTTCATAGTGTATCAGGAGCAATTAAACATTCAGGGTCCCGGACGCCGGAGGATTTAGGAGGAGGAACAGGAGCGAAACATGGCAGGATTTCATCTCGGAAAAAGGATTCGGAAATCGTCTGCTTGTTGCGGAGTTCAGCCTGAGGGATAACTGAAAGGTCTGAGTTGAGTCTTGACGCAGTGGACACGATCAACCTCGGATGCAGCATCAGTGGCGGTGTACACTCCGAGGTCGGCCGACTTAGTTCCTTCCCGCTATTCCTTCGTCTCTAATAAATATGGGTGAGCGAAGGAACCGATAACCTGGTTTTCTTTAACCCCATTTTTCACTCCAGGTCTTACACTCTGGCTCGTCCCCTCACCCGCAGACTCGGCCAGGCTCCGGAAAATTATGGACGCGCGCCCCAGGTCCCAGTCCACCTCCGAGGCTTCGTACCCTATCTTCCAGCCGCACATTACCCTTGCAGCCCTTCCCGATCCCGTCCCATCCCTCGCCAACATTCTTGCGTCCATCCCAGACGCGCAGCGTGCGCTGCCAATCACGTTCGATGCCGTCGAAGTCGGTGACCACTTCTTCCGCTCCGTATACCTCGCCGTCCACCCCACGCAGGCCTTGCTAGATCTGCACCACCACGTCCATGCCAAGCTAGACATCCCGCTGAAAACTCCCAAATACCCACATATCTCGCTGTGTTACATCAACGACGAGGATGCGGCCACCGGCGAGCGGACGAGGTACTTCCATGCACTCGAGGACGCCGGGACGATTCGCGCAAGTGAGGGCTCTGTCAGCTTGAACTGTGGCGAGCCAGGCGAAGATGACTGGTTGTCTGCATTTCAGTCACCAGAGATCTGGATTGCGCGGTGCGAGGGCCCTGTAGAAACCTGGACTGTGGAAAAGAAGATCGCCCTGCTCTAATTTGACAGTACTCAAACAGAATGAAGAAGCAGAATAAATTGTACCAACTAACTACGGCTTCTATAAACGAAGTGCCCCTTGGACCAGGACCTTGGTGCATGATTGACATTGTCATAATTTCCAGTCTTATTAGTCGCTGGCCAGCAGGCTCGGCGGGACTTGCGGTTCTTCGGGGATCAGTTGGAAACGCTCCGTCTGTATATAATTTAATACTCGAAGGTGAATATCCGAGCTGAGCGAGTCGCGTCGAGTCGGACAAGAAAAACGCGTGACATCATGACGCGGACACGTGCGGCCTTCTGGGCATCTAGGCGTCGCGTTGACGCGAGCACATCTTCTGATCTTCAAACCTGCATCGAATTCTAGTCTACGTGTAGCGGATTTTTCCAGTAGATTCCAATCCTGGACTGGGAAATTCTTGCATGGGCAGGCACTCCAAGTTGACGCACCAGACCTCTGCGACTGCCAGCAAGTTTCTTTCTTGTTGCCTCGGGCGCCGACGTTCCAAAGTCCGGAGAATAGAAAGACTCGCTCGCACCGCCTTCGGGCGACTCGGTTTTGTTTTTATTTCGTCATCGCGGAAGTTTGTCAGCCACAGCGTATAAATTTCAGAGAATGGCGGCGGAACATTCCTCACCCTCTTGCTCTCGACGCCCATCATTTCCCCGCACCCTCAACAATCGCCTCAAGACCCAAGGCCGTACGTGGCCGGACCCTTCTTCCACTGACGACATTCTCTCCTAGATCCTCGGTGACGGCTGGGCTGGTCTTTCCCGAACCCCCTCACACCCGCGGGACCGACGGCGTACCACGCAAGGGAGAGCCTCTGACCACTGTTTGGAGCTACCTAGCTGCTGGCTTCCCCGGCGAGCTGCAATAGCAACCTGGGGAATGTTCGGCAGGGGGGCTGTTCCCGTTGGCGCAGAACGCATCACAATGCTCCCTAGGCTGAGAGATGTTCGGTTAAAGACGCCTGCGGGCTCCGTTCGGATCAAAGACGCCGATTGGACACGTTGGGCAACTTGCGCGGTGTGAGCAAACGTGCTAGGGTCCGTTCCTCCCATGCTCGATCCTCCACCATCTCGATTTCGCGCTCGCGCTCGCCGGGCTGGATTAGAGGGCGAGGGAGCCGACTACGTCGCGCGAGGGCCTCCATTTGTTGTTCGTGTGTTTGTGGTCGAAGAGGATCCAGCAGGACGCGCGCTCCCTTGACGTTGGGCTGCTGGCTTACGGCGAGTGCTTCGGCGCGACCCAACCAAACGCACGCATGTCTTCATCTGTTCTATGTACTCCTTGCTTGTAACGAGTTGGAATTCTTCATTTTATTCTCCATGCCAGTCGAATTGAGTAATGTGGGGGACGCATAACGGCAGACGGTCTGCCCTGGCCGAGGCCAAGGATCAGCCACCGCTTGTACGACCGACCGTCTTGGGTTTCCTGTCGCGAAGACTCCGAAGAGGATGAGAAGAGACAAGTCGCGTCCGACGAGATCGTCGATGCCAAGGTCCGAGTCGAATCGTTGGCCGCACTGACAGCGTGGGACGACTTTGCCGAATTCAGCCACCCGTCTCTATATGTCTGCGCCCATCGAGTTAACGCGCGTGGGCCTGGTTTCTGCCCGTTTCCTCACCGAAGAGTCCCCGCGACCACCTCCCCAAGAAATCCCGGATATCTTCTCGTTTTCCCCCTCCCGCGATGAAGCGAAGCTGGCCGCGATCCACCCTGCATGGCGACGGAACCTCTACGCCCTGCTCGAGCAGCCGACGTCCTCGGACTCTGCATTCTTGGTGCACGTCCTCATGACGGCGTTAATCGTCTTGTCTGCAATCGTGACCGTGCTCGAGACCGTGCCTGCGTTCCATTCCATCAAGACCAGCGTCTGGTTTGGCCTTGAGACGAGTCTGGTAAAGGCGGGCCTCTTTCCGGGCGAGCGGTCTATTAACTCCATCTAGGTCGCGCTTTTTACGATGGAGTATATTGCGCGATGTCTAGCCTGGAGCGGCACATGGATGAGCTTGCTGCGATGGGTTGTCTGTACGTCCGTGCTTCTGTCAGCGAGCGTGTGCTCACGTTCCTTTGCAGCTTTTTTCGGAATTATTGACTTGCTTTCCGTCGCTCCATATTATATTGAATTAATAATGCTCCAAGATACCGTCCGTCCTCCTCTGCGCTGGTACCATTTCGCTGACTGACGGCCAGAAACCAGTCAGTCTTCTTCAGATTCTCCATCTTAAGGATGTTCCGGCTTCTCCGTGTCTTTCGTCCATTCCGCTCCAACAATACGATCCTTTTGTATGTCCTCTCTGCCGTGGTATCTGTTCCGCTCACCAAGGGTCAGAACAATAGAAGTAATGTATGTATCGGTCCGCCAATCCCAGCACGCCCTGTTTGCGCTCGGGTTCTTCGTGGTCATGGTCCTCACCGTGTTCAGCACACTCTTGTGCGTTGCTCTCGCAATATGTAACAAAGTTGGCCCTGACGCGCCTGCAGATACTTTGCTGAGAGAGGGACGTGGGACGACATTCTCGACACCTTTATCAACACGGACGGTGATCCGTCCCAATTCGCTGTGAGTGTATACTGGTGAATTCCGTACTCTTGCCGACACCTCTTCCAGTCAATACCAGCTGCTGCGTGGTAAGTTTCAGCACGTCAAGCTGTTCCTTTCTGACCCATTCTCCGTAGGTTCGTCCTAGTTAGTACGTCGCCATAGTTCCACCGTCGCGATTTGGGCTGACGATCGCACAGCGATTACAACGGTGGGCTACGGAGAAATCACCCCGCGGTCGTTTCTCGGCCGCCTCGTCACGCTGCCCCTCTTGGTGTTCGGCCTCCTCCTAATCGCGCTCCCGAGCTTCGTCTTGGGTCGCGAGTTCAGCCTCGTATGGGAGCGAATGTCGCACGACGTCAGCCCGCCCTCTCCTCACTCGCTCTTCTAAACCCTCACCTACCCACAGTCCCCGCACTCCGAGCCGCAGTCTCCCACCTCCCCGTTCATGCGCCGCGGCCGCGACACGCTCTTCCACTCGCACACCAGCTCGACGGCGGCCTCCGATCTCTCGAACCGCAAGCTCGCGCACAACCAGACGGAGCTGAGCAAGCAGATAGCGGAGCTCAGAGGTGTGGTCGAGGGGCAGGGGCAGATGATTGCGCGGCTCGTTGCTGCATTGGAGGGAAAGGGAAAGGGAAAGGCGCGAGTGCAGGATGTAGGATTCAGTTAAAATTGCTTAATATAGAAGATCTCCGCTTTGGTTCAGTGGCACGCCAGCCCGAGTCTGTGGGGATGTGAATGCAAGATCCCAAGATGGTTTTGAATATGGTACATTAAAGGAGGCTTGGACGCAACGCACGGGAATACTTGCAGGTCCGATGGTTGAAATGATCACAGTTGATCGCGTTTTTCTCCCGCAATTCTCGTCCGTTTCCCTTGAAACCGGGTCCAAACGACGCGGGGGGATGCCCTCTAAATAACAAGTGATGAGCGGGATTTGTGGAATTATAAAATACGGCGGAAAAGCAAAAATAACGACGCCAGCAGGATTTGAACCTGCGCCCGGAAACCGGAACAGATACGGTTCAAATCCTGATGGAATCGATTCTAATCTGTCGCCTTAACCACTCGGCCATAGCGCCGTGCAGATAATGAAGGGATAAGCCTTCAAGTCCGAAGAGAAACGATGATTAGAGCTCAGTTCAAAAAACCGGAGATGTTGCACGTGCAACATCTCCGCTCTCGGGTTGGTGATATGGTGTACAGGTCAATGATCGTCAATCGTCGTCCTGAAGGTAGACAGTGTAGAATCATATGAGAGCGGGTCGATTGAATGTCGATTGGCGGTTGATATTAGACCGGAGATCTTGCACGTGCAACATCTCCGGTCTTTACAACGAGCCACCGGCGTAAACCAGCCTACATCCATATACACACGCGTCTGTACTATTACAAATTTCTGCAGATGTAGCCAATATCCGACGGAGACAAGAGGTTGAAGACAACGAAGAATGTTGTGTATCGGCTGGATATTTCATTTCCATTCTACATGGCTCGGGCAACGGTGCTTGTCGCTGCATTTACGCGTAATGTACTGTGAGGACGAAAACATTGATCCTTACCAGCACCACACTACAGTAGGAATTATAATAAAATGGCTACAGCAGCACCTGTCCGCCCTGGCAAGTGACCCCGCCGACAGTGGTGTTGTCGGGATTGATTCCACCCGCGCCGTACGTTGGTGCGTCCGCCGCGAACTGGTACGCCGCATTCCCCTGCACATTCACATGGTGGTTCGTGTACACCGTCGGGCCACACTCGGTCGGCGCGCTGCAGTTACAATAAGAACACGAAAGAAGGGCATGCGCTGGCGACGTACGTGACGTTGACGTTGTTCAAATAGATATCGGTGCACTTGCGCTCGGAGCATACGAGCGCGGCGCCGATGTTGCCATACTTGCCCGACGCGGTGCCGTGCTGGTTCGTGAAGCTACGTCGCGGAGGATCAGACCTGCGTGAGTGATTCGCTCGATGGAACGCACTAGACGTTAGAGATGGTCATGTCGCTGGGGTGGGCCAGGCAGACGTCAGGGTCGGTCTTGTAGCAGTTGTCTGTGGGTCAAACACGTAGGTTAGGCGCTGCGGGCCGCGCGCGTCGCGGACGCACCGATAGTGATCGGGCTGTCGTTGTTCTCGTGCCAGAAGTTCGAGAACACGATCTGGTCGACGTAGCCGTAGCCACGGTCGACCCCGCCTCACGTCTTGACGCGTGCGCCGTTCTCCGAGTTGCGTATCGTGACGTTGTTAACGTAGACGTTCGCCACGATGTCTGCGGAGCGCGCGTCAGCGCCACGGGCCCGGGTGCGGAGCAGGGCCCGTGTGCGAAGCAGGGCGCGCACCTTTGACGCCGACGTTCTCGCCCAGACTCCCGACGCTGACGCCGTGCGTGCCGTTGCACCACAGATTGCTCACGTAGATGTGCGTCGCGTTGGGCTTGAGCGACACAGTCGTCGCCGTTGTCGATCCGCATGTCGTGTACCGTCCCGAAGGAGCTCAGCGCCTGTTGTAGATGTCCACGCCATCCGTCTCGCGGTTGCTCTCCCGCCCGAGCGCCCAGGTGTTGGAGCGCGACCGGATGTCGAGGTCCTGCACAGAGCATCGTTAGCTGGCGCGCCGAAGATACGAGAGGACATACGTGGATGAGCAGGTTCTTAGAGGAGTGCACGAGGATGGTCCAGCGCGGGGATTGTCGGATTTTGAGGTTGCGGATGATGACATTATCGCCCTAGAAAAATGTGAATAAGTGCCTGGAAGAGGTAGTGGTGGAGGGAATACTGAACCTGGTACGCAAGCATGAGATGCGGCGGCCGCAGACTGGCGTTTTCGATCCGCGCGTCATAAAACGTCTGCAACCACGTCGGTCAGTCCACTGTCCAAGAGCCCCCGCGTGCGTCCATCTACGCGCCTGCCCATTCCCGTCAATCGTGCCCACGCCCTCCCCGTCCAGCACAACATCCCTCCCACCAAACAGCCACGCCGCGGAGTTGTCCTGGTACGACACGTTGAACGCGTTGTCCCGCCAGTAGTCCACCTGCAAGCCGCCGGGTCGTCAACAACAGTGAACAACCGCGCGAGACGGACGGGCCGGGGCACGCACGTCGGGCTTCAGCGTGAGGTTCCCGCGCAGGCGGATGTGCACGCGCGCGAGCCCGGTCGTGTTCAGCCGCGTCCCGATGAGCAGGTTCTCCGTGTCGGGGACGAGCACGTCCGCGCAGGCCTATCGCCGCCATTTAGCAAGAAATCGGGGTGCATAAGAGGAAACACACCCGAAACGCGCGCTCGATGGCAGGCGAGTCGTCCGTCCCGCTCGCGGCGAGCGTGCACTTGTCCGAGTGAGCCGGGGCCGGAGCTTCGTGCGCGTGCGCGTAGATGGCGAAGAGCGCGAGGAGTACCCGGGAGCGCGCCATAGCTATAGTGGAGGGCGCCAACCTCGACGCGAGCCATTAAATACTTTACAAAATACGCGCGGGCGGGCCGACGCGCCGCGCGCCGCCCCACCATTTCCAATCTGATGCGCCATCAAATGCTTAGCTTCGCCCCGAGTCCGCTGGGCGAGCTGCGTCCGGGCCGCGCAACTGGGACTGCTGATGCTCTTCATCACCCATGTGAACATTTTCTTGGAGAATTTTGAATGACGCACCATGCAAGGTCGACTACAATTCCACCAATCGTTTGCTCCTCCCGAGCTCGAAACGTGAAAAATAAATTTTAATTCGAGCAGCAGCTTGACGGACGGCAGAGCAACAGAAAGAACGGGACCGTGGCAGGGAAACGAACGGTAGGGTGCTCTAAGTACCACAGTGACAGAAAGAAATCCTCCCCGCCCGCACGCAAACGAAGAAAAGACCCCCGCCCGCGCCGCCGCCGCCCCATCCATTCGTTTATTGCCAACCCCCCACGCGCCCCCGCTCATTTAATTATGATTGGTTTAAGCCGCCATGTCCTTGGCGAGCTGCTCCGCCTTGGCCTTGACGTCCTCGATCGTGCCAGCCTGCAAGTCACACGTTAAAACGGAGATATAAGGGGGAGAGGAACCGAACACACCATGTAGAAGGCAGACTCTGGCAGCGAATCGTGCACACCCGACAGAATCTCCTTGAACGAGCGGACGGTGTCCTTGAGCGACACGAGCTTGCCCTCGTACCCGGTGAAGACCTGCGCGACCTGGAAAGGCTGCGACATGAAGCGCTGGATCTTACGCGCGCGCTCAACGGTGAGCTTGTCCTCCTCGGACAGTTCGTCCATGCCGAGAATGGCGATGATGTCCTGCAGCGACTTGTAGTCCTGTAGGATCTTCTGGACGGCGGTCGCGGTGTCGTAGTGGTCCTGTCCGACCTGGAGAACGCGTCAGGGCAGCCGATAAAAGAGAGGAAGGAACGTACGATACGGGGGTCGAGCATGCGGGACTTGGAGTCGAGGGGGTCGACGGCGGGGTAGATACCAAGCTCGGCAATACCACGGGACAGCACGGTGGTGGAGTCCAAGTGAGCGAAGGTGGTGGCCGGGGCGGGATCAGTCAGATCGTCGGCGGGGACGTAGACGGCCTGGACGGAGGTGATGGAGCCCTTCTTGGTGGTGGTGATACGCTCTTGCCTGCATGAAATAATGAGGAATTGCCAGCAATGCAACGGAAGTAAAACTCACATGCCACCCATATCAGTGGAGAGGGTGGGCTGGTAACCGACGGCAGAGGGGATACGACCGAGCAGCGCAGACACTTCGGAACCGGCCTGGGTGAAGCGGAAGATGTTGTCGATGAAGAGCAGCACATCCTGGCCCTCCTCGTCACGGAAGTACTCGGCGATGGTGAGGCCGGTGAGGGCGACACGGGCACGGGCACCAGGGGGCTCGTTCATCTGCCCGAAGACGAGCGCGACCTTGGATTCGCCGTCGAGCTTGATGACACCGGTTTCAATCATCTCGTGGTACAGATCGTTACCCTCGCGAGTACGCTCTCCGACACCTAAGAGAACAGGTATGAGGAAGAGGTTAAGCAGCAGGAGTAGGAGGAGGACACATACCGCAGAAGATGGAGACACCACCGTGGGCCTTGGCGACGTTGTTGATGAGTTCCTGGATCAACACGGTCTTTCCGACACCGGCACCGCCGAGGAGACCAATCTTACCACCACGCGCGTAGGGGGCGAGGAGGTCGACGACCTTGATGCCGGTCTCGAGAACCTCGGCAGTGGTGGACTGGTCGACGAATGGCGGGGGGTCCGCGTGGATGGGGCTGAGCTTGACGCCCTTGATGGGGCCACGCTCGTCGATAGGCTCGCCGATGACATTCATGATACGGCCGAGGGTCGCGGAACCCACGGGAACGAGGATGGGGGCACCGGTGTCGATGACCTTCTGGCCACGTACGAGACCCTCCGTACCGTCCATGGCGATGGTGCGCACGGTGTTCTCACCCAAGTGGGACGCGACCTCGAGGACGAGCCGGCCGCCAGAGAAATCCTGGACCTCGAGGGCGTTCAAAATGGGGGGCAGGTTCTCGGTCTCGAACTGCACGTCGACGACAGCACCGATGACGGTTTTTACCGAGCCGACCGCGGCCTTTGCCTCCGTCGCATAGGTGCGAGCTGGAAAAAAAGTGAGGACAATGGGGGGGTTTCCGGGATGACAGAGACTTGCCTGGGGTGGATGCGGAGGGAGAAGGGCGAGCGCCAGCGCGCTGGGGTTTCGACTGAGCGGGGACGGAAACTCTAGGAAGAAGGGCAGCGGTGGAAAAGAAGGCGTTTGTTTTGTTTTTGCTGTTCACGGCTCTCCGAGACAGGCGGGCGACGGCGCCGCGCGAGGTGAGCATCGTCGACGAGGGTGTGGTGGAAGGACAACTTTCTGCGTGGGAACATCACGTTTATACCCGTCCGAACCCGGTTACCTCCGACCATACTTTACCCGAACGGCCGCCATGGAATCCTCAAAATTCTGTGCAACTGCAGGCAAATCCGTCAACTTGGAATATACCATCTCCGCCAAACCTCCGCTATCTTTCTCAGAGCAGCAAAATATAACTTCAGGAATTCTGCTTTTGGCCCTCAACTTGGTTCTTTCTCAGCGCCAAATCAAATGAAGCCGT